TTCTTCGATAGGTGTATTGCACTTTGACTATCACATTTAACAGTGATAACTCGACCTTGAAGTTTTAGCTCCTTTGCAAAAACTTCAAGCCATAATGCTTCCTTCACAACTTCAGTTAGGGCAATATATTTCGCATCAGTGGTTGATAAGGCAATGACCTTTTGAAGTTTTGTTTCCCAACTGATTGTTATCCCAAACATAGTGAACACATATCCAAAAATAGATTTTCTGGAATCCATACAACTTGCATAACCAGAGTCGACATATCCTTCGATTGTTGCTTTACTATCTTCACCCAAGGCTCCATCATAAATTAGGACTTTATTCAAAGACTCAATTATGTACCTTAAATTCCACTTCAATGCTTACCAGTGAGCCTTTCCAAGATTCGTCATGTACCTGCTTACAAGACTTACTGCATATGTTATGTCGGGTCTAGTACAGACCATAACATACATCAAAGAACCCATTAATTAGCATATGGAATGCTATTCATATAAGTTCTTTCAACATCAGTGTTGGGACACTGATCTATACTCAGCTTGAATTTAGGGTTTTTCGAAGTCACAACAGGCTTTGAATTCGACACACCAAACTTTTCGAGAACCTTTCGTACGTATGCCTATTGAGATAAGCATAATTTCGACTGTTTTCTATCTCTTTGGATGTCAATCCTAAGAATCCTGGACGCAGCTCCCAGATCCTTCATGTCGAACTCCTTATTGAGTTAAGCCTTCACCCTCATTACATCTTCGACATTGTTACTTGCTATTAGAATATCATCCACATAGAGCAACAAAATAACAAATGAATTACTAAATCGAAATCTAAAGTGAACACAGTGGTCGAACTGACTTCTGATGAAACTTATGCATGCCTTGAACTTGTCGAGTCTCTTATTCCACTGTCGAGGAGATTGTTTCAGCCCATATAAGGATCTTTTTAGCTTGCACACATAATCTTCCTTCCCTTCTTCGACATACCCTTCAGGTTGCCTCATCAGGATTGTTTCATCTAAATCACCATACAAGAATGCATTCTTCACATCCATCTGTTCCAGTTCAAGGTCAAACTGTGCCACTGTCACAAGCAACATTCAAATGGATCTGTGCTTCACAACAGGAGAGAACACATCATTAAAGTCGACACCTTCTTTTTGAGTGAACCCCTTAACAAACAATCTTTCCTTGTATCTCTTTGATGTCACTCCTTCAATTCCTTCATTAACTTTGAAAAAGCATTTACAGCTGACTAACCTGGCTCCAGCAGGTTTCTTGATCAATTCCCAGGTGTTGTTATCATGAAGAGGTTTCATCTCATCATCCATGGCTTTCAGCCATTCAATCTTCTTTCGACTCCTCATAACTTCCTTATAGTCTCTAGGTTCTTCGTCTAGAACCTCACTTGCAGAGATTAAGGCATAAGCTATAAGATATGCATACCCAAGTCTCTGAGGTGGCTTGATGACTCTCCTCGACCTGTCTCTTGCTAGCAGGTAGTCATTATCAGTCTTCTCATCTTCAAAAACATCTTCTACGTCTTCTTCGACTTCATCTGGGGTACGCAATTCATCATCAACATGCTCCACCTCAACGGGAATCTCTCCCTACTCCAGCTCGTTGTCAACATCATTAGTTTTCTTGAAAGCCATCTCTGCTTCATTGAAAACTATATCTCGACTGGTGACACACCTCCTGTGACATGGCTCTAGGCACTATAGCCTATAAGCTTTGACTTCTTCAGGGTATCCCATAAACATGAACTTCAGAGCTCTAGATTCGACCTTGTCTTGCCTAATATGAGCATAGGCCACACAGCCAAATACTCTCAGTCTGTCGAGACTAGGTGGATGTCCCGACCAAACTTCTTCAAGTGTATTCATTCCCAAGGCAGTCGAGGGACATCTATTTATGAAGTAAGCTGCTGTCGAAATAGCTTCTGCCCAAAACACCTTCTTCAATCTAGCACTAACCAACATGTATCTAACCCTTTCAAGGATTGTTCGATTCAATCTCTCAGCTAAGCCATTTTGTTGAGGAGTACCTACTACAGTCTTATGCCTTGCAATTTCAGACTCAACAAACTAATTGTCGAATGCTTCGTTGTAGAATTCAAGACCATTGTCGGTTCTCAACCTCTTAACCTTTCTGCCAGTTTGAGTTTCGACCAGAATCTTCCAATTTTTGAAATTCTCAAAATTTTCATCCTTTGTCTTCTGAATGAATACCCATAGCTTTCTGGAATAGTCATCAACGATGGATAGAAAATACCTTGCACCTGAGTGTGAAGGACTCCTTGTAGGCCTCCAAAGATCAGCATAAATATAATTCAGTGATCCATGTGTTCTTTGCTTTACTTTGTTAAACTTTGCCCTACATAATTTACCAAATACACAAGATTCACAAAACTATAACTCTTCTCTTCAAGTCAGGTACATACCTGACTTCAGTCAATAACCTTATTGACTCATCATGGAGCTTGAATCTCACAGATCCAATACCTGTAATTTTGCAAGATTTGTTGTCTCCCAGCAGCACAGATCCACCATTTTGATCACATAACTCCTCTAACAATTCTCTGTTTGGATTTATGTACCAAGTGCAACCTGAATCCATAATCCACTCTTGTGAAACTTTGTTGCATCTCTTTTAGTAATATGAAAACATCAATGTTATCTGGTTTAGAACTATGAAAACATCAATGTTATCTTTAAGTTTTATCTAATTTGTACTGTCATAACAAATTTTAACATTAAGTTAAACTAAGGCAAAACAATCTAGTCTAGAATACAAGTGTTACTATGCCAAATTTAAGTAAGATAAAACCAATTATCAGTCATTCATTTAGGTGCTACTATGCCAAATTGAAATGTTGCTATGTCAATTTTTATGTAAAATAAAAATGTTATATCTGTCAAATATTGCTAACCATGAGAATTATTTAACCAAAACCAACATTTCTTTAACAAACAAGGTCATTCAAAGTATACTTCAATAATTAGATTTAATAACAAAGTAAACATTAAATATAAAGGAGATTACAAAACATAACATTTTTAAATTAAAAAAAAAATCTCTAATTTCAATTTGTTTTTCAAATTCTTGTTTGTTCTTCTTTAAATATTCATACATAACCTTCAAATAGTCCATAACAGCAACAATATTCATAGATTTCACTGCATCTGCAGTTTCACCATATCAACAACAATGTAATTCAAAGTCTACTTCAACAATTAGATTTGATAACAAAGTAAACATTAAACATAAAGGAAATTACAAAACATAACATTTTCAAATTTCTAAAAAATTTCTCTAATTTTAATTCGTTCTTTAAATTCTTGTTTGTTCTTCTTTGAATATTCATACATAACTTTCAAATAGCCCATATCTTCCAACTCTGAATTCATAATGTTTCAATCTTCATTTTCAACTTTTGCTCTGATATCTTCATGCCATATGAACAAATCACACGTTTTATCACTGCTCCTAAAAGGACATCTCTAAATTTTTTTTCCTTTATTAGGTGCTTTCCTTGGTATGAAATCATACGACCATGACACTCACAAAAATGTTCAGCTCGAGATTTTACATAAAACGAATACATGACAACGTTTTTGGTTGAGTTCGTCTTCAAAGATGACATTGAAACGAAGCAAAACTGAGGAGATAATCGTTTCTATATTTCTACAGACAAAATTAGGTTAGGTAAAATAAATTTATGCGTTTATAAATTTTTATAAAAAAAATAGTATTTTAATTAACATATTCCATGGTGTCCATCATATATATTAATTTAAAATTTAATCAACGTGACCAAATATTTGAATAAAAAATATTTAAAAGATCATTTAAAAAAAGTTTTTAAAAAAATGCAATATTTAAGAGGAATAGAAACCTATTTAAAATATAAGTTAGTATTTTAAAAAATTTGCATCTATGAATTTAAGAAAGATAGTACTAGTAATCACTTTAAGACATTTTGAGACAAAGTTGCGACCATTGTGGTATATGTGCATCCTATACATACAACATGTTTGCGTGAAGTGGCGGTGTCCACGTGGTTATTAGCGTGGGAGTTTACACATAGATATTGATATTCACGTGCTTTTGCTCCATTTCGAAAGCCACACTGCCATCATTTGTCAGCATCATCACCCCACAAACCCTGACTTTCAAACCTTGTTTTGTTTTTTCACGTATATCAGAGTTCATGTTTTCCATATTCTACGTGGTTCATGTCTTCCAATTGCATGGCCCAGTTTTGATGGTTTGAAGAAGCAAAACTTAATACATACACCTGCACTTCTTTCCATTGCTACATGTTGAATGAGTTTCCATTTTCTCATGCTAAATGAAGAATATGGCAGAGTCCTTGTGTATGTTGAGTTATAGACACAAAATAACAAGTAGAATTATTGAATTATTTTTAGAATTTGTGTTGAGACAACTTAAATAAATGATATCTAATAAATTGCTTATAGAGCTCCTAATCAAAGTGGTCTTTCTCTGTACCATTGCCAAAAGTAATAAAAATGTACCTTGAATAATGCATTCATGTAGAACAAAAAGTGAAATCATAGCCAAACTTATAAACTATCATCTTCATGTACCTTTCCCCAAAGTAAATGTACATTTTTTTTCTTTCATATTGTTTAATTCAAATAATACTAAACCTTTTCAGTAAACACTTAAGCCTGCACTTAAATGATTGGGAGATTATTAGATTATTAGCAACTTAATTCCTCTGACATAAGTGCACTTTGAGTTGTGTCAGAAGACAAAAAAACCTAAAAAAAGGAAAGAAAAAAAAACACTATTGTACACCAATGTGGACCCCTATACACTACTCTATATAGTATATATATTACACCTATCTATCTTCCATCCCATCAACCACTCTCAAAATTTTCCAACTTCTTCTTTGCAAGAACAAAACTCCTAACAAAATCACACATTTTGTTTCAACATTAAAATTTCTCACTTCTTTAAACTCTTCTTCAAATGAGGCCTTCTTTTGTACTAGTTTCTCTTCTCATTTTTTCACTTCTCCTTACAAAAACTCAAGGTATTTAAATTTAATTATAATTTACCATGCAGTTTAAACATCTATATTTAAATTCTGATTTCTTTCTGCACTCGCAAACGTAGACAAAATGAAGTCGTTAACGCGCTTTTAATCTTCCTTATTTTTTCACAGGGATCCGTTTGGCGAAAGAGTCTTTAACATTCGAGAAACCAAAACATCATGTAGAAGAAGAAGAAGCCATTCTTTGCAATGATCAACAAAAATGCACAGGTAGCCAGAAGAAAACAGCTTCTAAAGTTTCCAGAAAACCACACAACCAATTACCAAACATTCATGAAGATTATTATGGACCTAGACGACATAGATCTAGGCACCATTAGTTTTTATGTCCACAATTTTTTTTCCTTAATTTGTTTAAATTTAGATGAAAAAAAAAATTATCATTAATTAAAATGGTATTCAAGATAATTACCATTTTACAATCGAATCTAAAATTTTGTTGCAAAAATTTCTTATGACTATGCAAAAGTGCATGATTTTAGTCTCTTCTCTTAATTGATTTATGGTTTAAAGCAAGTATAAAATATAATTTATCTAAGCATCATGAGAGAAATTTAATCATAATACTTATATATTTTGATGCAGGAAATATAAAGAATAGGAAACTTGTTAGCACTTCAATTTCTACAACTAAATCTTTGTCAAAGGTTGTGAAGAACAAAGATGAAGCAAAGGATGTAAAAGTAAAATCAATGGCAACTAGTTCTAAGTATCTTCCTGAGGATTTTGTAGACATAACTGAGATGGATTATTCTCCAGCTAGGAAAAAATCTCCAATACACAATTAAGTGATTCTAGGTAGAAAAAAAGAAGACAAAAATTCCTTATATGGATAAATGTAATATTTTTATAGACAGAAAAGTGATCATTTTGCAGAAATGCTGCAATTTTTTAAGGCTTAGGAATGATTTGTACATTATTATTATTATTATTATTATGATTATTAATATTATTATTATTATGTTAACTTTTTTTATTACAAATCTATTTTTAGAATAAATGTAATATTATGTTAGTTTCTTAATTTTAATATCTTGGCTCTTAAGTTATGAAAGCAAAACAAACTGGGGACCAATGACTGCAAAATTGCAGTATGCAAAAGTAACATTTCCTACTTTTTGCAGCTGAGAAAACATACAGACCTTAACCTACATATTATATAGTATGTGTATTAAATTACTCTCCAACAGAGATATCACATTTTATAATTTATTATAGATATTAGACTTTATTTATTCAATAATTATTATCAAATAGTTCCTTTATTGGGAAGTAAGTGTATCTTCAAATTTTCTGACAATTAAATTAGTAGTAATTGTTGAATTTTTTTTATGACTCATGACCTTAAGCGTTAGTCAGCCCTAATGAAGTATATTGCTATTGTGTGACCATCTTTGGATTAGAAAAGTTGTAGTAATGGATTAAACTTCAATCTTGACAAGTGTAGTTTCACGATTTGATAGGGTCGAATGTGTATGTTGTAGTTGAAGTTTGTCCAAACATGCAGTAGTCGAAATTCGTAATGTATTATGTTATGTAATATTTATATATGTCATTTATAAGTATTATCCTCATAGATAATGTGGTATTTGGATTGAACTCTAGTGTCAATAATGGTGGAGTTGTGTATGTTGTAGTCGAAGTTTGTTCGAACATAATGTCGAAATATATTAACTTGTAATTTAAGTTAGTATGTCGAATTGAGTCTTGCTTCTAAGCCTAATTGTTGAGTTAGTTTGTATCCTAAGTTAGCTTAGTAGTCTATAAATAGACTAATTCTCTCAGCTTATTGAGAGAGATTAGTTGTTGGTATTCACTTGTAATCTTTGAATCCTTATTGAGAAAGTGAATAGAAAAACAGATTTAATCAATTCTTATTCTTTTTCTTCCTTCTTCTCTCCCTTTTGTAAAACCTAATAAGGTTTCTTGTGTATGTTCAAGAAATTCAATCTTTTTCTCATATTTTGGTTTGTTCTTGACGATATCAATTCACAACACATGACATACATATACTAGTAGTCTATAAATAGGTTGTTCTCTCACTTAATAGGAGAGAGATTGGTTGTTATTTTGTTTCACTTGTAATCATTTAATGCTCAGTGAGAAACTGAATTGAATAACCGTTATAACCAACTCTCTCTCTCTCTCTCTCTCTGAATTGAATAGCTTTTTGTTTGATCAAGAAAATCTCTCTTTCTCTCAGATCTATTTTGTTCTTATCATCGATTATCGCAACAAACTGGTGTGATGAATGTGAATCAAGATGCCTTCAATAAAGTATGAGATTGAGAAATTCATTGGAGAAAGTGACTTCATATTACAACGTTTGAACATGTGAGTCCTTCTTGTTCAACAAGGTCTGCTAGAAGCGCTAAAGGGATCTGAAACACATAGATTTTTCCCTAACGAAGAGGGAGAAGACGACGATGATTGAGAAAACCTAGAGTATCATCATATTGAGCTTTGGTGATAAGGTTCTTCGGTAGGTCTCGAAAGAAAAAACTGTAGTAACTAAGTGGATCAAACTTGAAGGTTTATACATGATCAAGTCTTTGGTCAATCGTCTCTACCTAAAACAAGCTTTGTATTCATTCATGATGAGTGAAGACAAAGTCTTGACTGAGCAGTTGGATATGTTCAACAAGCTAATTCTTGATCTAGAGAATATTGATGTTAGAATCTATGATGAAAATCAAGCGTTGTTGTTGTTGTGTAGTTTACCTAGGTTTCATGCTTATTTCAAAGAAACTTTCTTGTATGGAACAGAGTCCATAACCTTTGAAGAAGTTCAATCGACCTTGTATTCAAAGGACTTGAATGAAAGAAATGAGCACAAGCCATCAAAAGTTGGTGAAGGATTGTCCGTAAAAGGAAAACTCTCGAAGAAGGAGTGTGTCCTTATAGGCTAAAGAGTTATGGCAATAGTGAGGATAGTGGAAATGCATCAATTATTCAAGATGATTATGAATAATCTGATGTCTTGGTGGTTTTGAGCAATAATTCTTGCAAGGAATGGATTATGAAATCAGATTGCACTTGGCACATGACTCCAAGCAAATATGTGCTTGAGGAATTATATGATCAAGATGGTGGATCAGTGTTGCTGGGAAACAATAAAGCCTACAATATTGCAAAGATTAGATCTGTGAGATTAAAGTTGCATGATAAGTTAATAAAGTTGTTGACTTACATTAGGTATGTACCTGATCTTAAGAGAAACTTTATTTCTCTTGGTGAATTCAACAATAAATGATATGTTTTCAAAGGAGAGTAAGGTATTCTAAGAGTCATAAAGGGGTCGAAGCAAGTCTTGAGAGGCATCAAGAGGTAAGGATTGTATACCCTTGAGCCTGGTGTTATGAGTGGTTTAGCAGATTTTACATTCATAAAGCTTGTGTCAAATACGGAGCTATGTCACATGAGATTAGGCCATGTCAGTGAAAGGGGCATGGTCGAACTAGGGAAACAAAATCTGCTAGGTGGTGACAAGGTTGAAAAGCTAGAGTTCTGTGAACCTTATGTATTTGGAAAAGCTTGCAAAGTGAAGATTAATAAAGGTAAGTAAATAATACATAGATTTCTATATTACATTCATGCTGATCTTTGGGGGCGTGTAAGATATTTCCTATCAATAGTTGATGATTATTCCTGAAAGTTATGGGTATTCACTCAGAAAACTAAGGATGAAACTTTTGAAAATTTCAAAGTTTGGAAGAATTTGGTCAAAAATCAAACTGTCGGGAAGGTGAAGAGATTGAGGACCAACATTGGTCTTGAGTTCTACATAGAAGCCTTTGATATTCATTGTGTTATCTCTGGTATTGCTAAGCACAAGATTGCAGCAAATACTACTCAACAAAATGGTCTGGCTGAGACGTTTAATGGCACAATCCTAGAAAAGTATATTCGCTGGTGTTGGATTGAAGAATGTGTTTTTGGATGAGGTTGTCATAACACCAGTATATACGATAAATAGGCATCCTTCAGCTTCCTTGGGGATGAAGACACTTGAAGAAGTTTGGTCGAATCATCCATCAGATCTCGATAATCTTAGAATATTTGGTTGTGTAGCCTATGTTTACATTAGGCAAGACAACTTTGAACTTATAGCTCTAAGATGCATGTTTCTTAGGTATCTTGAGGGAGTTAATGCCTATAGGTTGTGGTGCCTATAACCATGTCACAAGAGGTGTATCACCAGTCGTGATGTGGTTTTCAATGAAGCAAATATCACATTCAAGAAAATTGATGATGCTGGTCGAACTGCAAAGATCTCTGAAGAAGATGAAAAGAAGGAAAAAGTTCATGTTGAGGTGGAGCACTTGGGAAATAAAGTGCACAATTATGACGAGAATCTAGATGAAATTGTTGAAAAAACACATGATGTTGAAGAAAATGAGGAAATTATTGATGACTACCTGTTAACAAGATTCAGGTCGATAGGAGTCATTAAGCCGCCTCAAAGGTTGTGTTATACATATCTTTTTTATTTAATCTCTACTAGTTAGGTTGTCGATGAAGAACCTAGAGATTACAAATAAGCTACGAGAATTCAAAATAAGAAGGAATGGCTGAAAGCCATGGTTAATGAGATAAAATCTCTTTAAGATAACCATACCTAGAAGCTAGTAAAAAAACCTGTATGGATCAGGTTAGTCAGTTGTAAATGGATTTTCAAAGTAAACGAAGGATTTGAAGGCGTTATATTGAAGAAATTCAAGGAAAGACTGGTTTCATTGGGCTTAACTCAAAGAGTAGGAGCGAATTTCAATGATGTATTCTCTCATATTGAGAAGCATATATCCATTAGAAGTCTTCTTTCCATGGTGGCTAGGTTCGAGCTATAATTGGAGCAGATGGATATGAAAATTTCTTTTCTATTTGGTGATCTACATGAAACAATTATGATGAAGCAAACAGAAAGGTATGAAGAAAAAGGTAAGATAGATTATGTGTGCAACTGAATAAGTCACTATATGGCCTGAAACAGACTCTTAGGCAATGAAATAGGAAATTTGACAAGTTCATAGCACACATAGGTTTCACAAAGAGCAACTTCAATTACTATGTTTATTTTAGGTTCTCACTTGAAATTTAATTTATCATTTTATTGCTCTATGTGAATGACATCGTCATAGCAAGCAACCTTGTTGAAGAAGTAATTAGGGTGAAGACTTAACTTAACTAGGAATTATAAATGAAGGACCTTAGAGATTCAAATAGGATTATAGGTATCGACATCAAGAGAGATAGAAAACAGTCAAAGTTATGCTTATCTCAAGGGTCATATCTAAGGAAGATTCTCAACAAGTTTGATATGTCAAACTCAAAACATGTTATAACGCCAAGAACTCAGCAATTCAAGCTAAGTATAACTCAAAGTCCTAGTACAGAATTTGAAAAAGCCTATATGGACAACATTATATATGTTAATATAGTAGATTCTTTGATGTATGTTATGGTTTGTACCAGGCCAAACATAGCATATGCATTTAGCCTTGTAAATAGGTACATTTCCAACCCTGGAAAGGTGCACTAGCAAGACTTGAAATGGATCCTAAGATACATAAAAGGGTCTCTGTGCATGGTCCTTGTTTATGGTGGAGCCAAAGGAGATTATGACAAATTTGAAGTTGAAGGATTTGTTGAGTATGAATATGCAGGATGTATGGATACCAGAAAATCTCTTTTTGGATATGTTTTCACTATGTTTGGTATAATAACCAGTTGGAAAGCTACAATTCAGAAGGTTGTAGCCTTATCAACCACTGAAGCTGAATATATTGCC